TTATTGAAGGATCGAGACGATTAAAACTTTCATATAATAAGTGAAATTAATGAATATAATACAAAGATGATAGGGAAGTACTACATATTGGTCAATTTCTCTATGTTATTATTAGTTGATTTGCTAGATTATACTATCAATTTAGAGCCCATATGATTTAATTCAATGTTCATGACTCTATTTGTATTTGACCATTTTTTCGTTGAGTAACCGATATAATTTTTTTTGGGTATATAATGATTAAAGCTATCATTTGTTATTTTTTTTCAAGTACAATTCAAATAATTTTTTATCATTTTTTTCATAAATAAAATGGATTAAAGCTATTCTTTTATATAATTTTTATAATACTATGACATTCTTATCTTGATTAATTTTTTTAAAATGACGTAGGAACTATGCAAGAATTATTCAAACTATGAAAAATGATTTATACTTTGATATGATATGAGTGTGTCATTGATAGAGGAAATCAAAGATAGAGAGTTGCTAATATAATCAATTAATGATTTGTTTGAAAAGTTATTTTTATAAGCAAGGCAACAAATTTAGATTAAACTTTTTTAAAAACTACTTATAAATTATAATTAAAAGTTGATATTTATTCATAATTTGATCCCACAATAATAATATATACCACTGATTTAAAAGTCCAAGTAAATTTATGATAACTGTGCGGGGAGCAAATATTCCGGCAAGCCCGTACTCCTTTCTTCCGAGCTCCGTCGATGTCCGATCACCTGCGAGCAAGTAACGGTGAGCTACCCGGCGGTGTGTGGCTGGAAAAACCCTCCGACGATCAAGTTAGCACATACCTTAGGATGGATAGAGAGAAGGGAGAGAGTGTTTGAGTGTAAGAAATTCCTTACAGAGTGTTCGTGTATGGGGGGCGCAGACATGCTTATATACCTTCTGAGCCCCATATCCACTCCCTGTCATCTCCTGACACGTGGCTCTGCTATCCCATCTGTCAGCATAAACCATGCCGTTCATCACCTGCTCTCAACTGCCTGTCAGCATAGCTGGAGCTCGGCAGCCGAGCTGCCCTACCTCGGTCATACCATGCTTCATACCTTAAGCGCCTAACCGGATAACCGAATGAAGGACCGGGCTAGGCGGCATCCCGGCAGAGCTTAGCCCGGGCTCCTCCTTTGGTCGGCCTTCTCGCCGGTCAGTCAACTACCTCGGCTGACCGCGCCTTTCCGAGCGCCGGCCTCTCGGTCTGTCTGGTCTCGACAATCCTCGGACCGAGCATCCTAGCCTGACCGGTCACTTCCTGGCCGAGCAGCTTCTGCACGGTCCGGGGCAGCGCACAGACCAAACTCTGCCCGGCCCAACTTCTGGTAGCCCACCTCCGGGTGAACAGTCGATCATCTCGGCCCAATGCTCTGCTGGGCCCTCAACTTGTTCGGTCTATACCTCGGCCCAACACCGGAGCATAAATCACCCTCTCAATAACTTTTCTGAGCTTATAGAATTTATCTCTTTTAATGTTTTGTTTAATTTGATACAAGTTATTTATGTTATCAAGTGATTGTGATACTATTATTCTCAACAATTTTTATAATTAATAATTTCTTATGCATATCAAATTTTATTTTAAAATTTTGTGGGTTAATTATTGTTAACATCTACCTAGATGGCTTAATATTATGGCATGTCGCTATTAAGACATAATTTAAAATTAAGATAATTTATTTATCACACAAAATATATATAGTCTATTTTTCTGTGCCTCGCACGAATTACCGCTAGCTCTGATTATATTATAATGGAGCCATATGTGCTGTATATGGAGTTTGATGGGCCATTAAGGCAGTTTGATAACCTAAAAATAATTTATCTTTTTATTTTTTTTATTTTTTTCATTGCATTATTTCTCTATTTTTATATATATTTTTTCATAAAAAATAAAAAATATATTTATTTAGGTCATTCTAAACAATCCCTAAATTTGATTCAAATATTTTCGGTTTGGCCCACTATTTTGGATATGGAGTCATCTAGTTTGGGCCCGTATGCTGTTGAAGTGTTGTTGTTTTTGGGTTTACTTTGGGGTATACAGTGGGCTAAACAATTTTGGGATCATTTGGAAAATTCTCTTTGTTTAGTCTCTTTGCAACGGATCATTTATAGTTGTTTATTTTATGGTGTTTGATTGTGTGATCCTCATATGACTCGATATGAGGGTGGTTTTGAGCCATCTCCGCCAAAAGTAATTGGAGAGTCACTGCTATGGAGAATAGTGGTTCATTTACTAGCCAAGTTCGAGATTGGGAAATGAGTGGGAGGATAGCTATCGGTTTTCTGGTCGCTTCTTGTCTTCGTGTGATCCATCCTAATTGATCGTATTGCCACGCCTGACATAGAGTGGAGGGCACACTGCCATGGGGTTTGAGTCCTGTGATCTACCAAGGAAGGGAATGGGGGATGTGATGATTGCTCTCATGATTTTATTGGCTATATATTGGTTTGTTGTTGTGGGGCTATTGTTTTTTTACTATAACTCTCAAGTACGTGGCTTATGGTTTCTGATCGTGCTAGCTTCATGTGACTTTGTTGGGATTTCTCTTGGAGTAGATTTTTTCATCCGTCACGATTTTTGTTAAGTGGTTTGGATGTCATGGCTATGAGGAGTAGGACGCTTATTGGATTCTATGTGTTTATCTGCAGTAGAGACTGAGGGCATGTGGGGTTGGTTATCATCTTTGACTCGGCTTGAGGGTTGTTGTTTTGTGTTTGTGTCTGTTGTGTTTATAAGCTTTGTGGTGTCTTTGTATCTTTGCCCATATAATCACCTCAAGTTTCCATTCACTATCTCTGATGGGAGGAGTTACTTGGGGGTAATAAGAATATATGGGCCAAGTTGGATTTTTGTGTTTTATGTTGTTTTGTTGTACCTCCTTTTTAGGGGGTGTGGTGGTAGTTTAAGTTAGTTATTTCATTTTTTCTTTGTTGTTAGGCGTGCCTGGGGTATGCCCCTTGTAAATTTGTATAATTTTATTATTTTTATTTTATGACTTACTTATCCCAAAAAAAAATAAAAAAAATAAAAAAATTACTTAAAATTTTAAAAATATTTACTAAAAACAAAATAATAAGAAAAGAAAAAAATTCATTTTTTAAAAAATTAAATTCAGAAAACTGAAACCAAGCATACTAATTATTATTATTTTTTTTTTGTACAACCAATAATATTGAAACTTGTTTTGAAAAGATAGTTAAAAATTAACTTTTTAATTTCTTTAACTTTTTAACTTTTTTCTTTATAGGAGAAAAAATAGGTTAAAAATTAAAAAATGACTTTTAATTCACTTTTCAAAATAGTGGTGTTTTAGAAAGTTGGTAAAAAATTGATTTTTGACTTTTTTTAGCCAAAAAAGCTAACTTTTGAATAGTGACTTAGGTAAAAAAATTAACTTTTTTGACTAAAAAAAATTAAAAATTAATTTTTTACTAGCTTGCCAAAGCAGGCTATAATTTTGAATCTCCTATATTTTGTAGTATCAGTAGTGTTAGAAACCACTAATTTAGTGACTCTAAACCTACAACTAATGAGTTGGCAAAGAAAAAAAAAAAAAAACCAACAGACACAATACATATAATGAGAATGGGTGAGACCCACTACCACATCATTAATAGTAGCTCTAATTAAAGTTCCTACTCATCTTTCTTTGTAGTATACCTAAAATCATTGTTTTGCGTGAGGGATTAGTTGGGTTTGGTGTGTCAAGGCAGAGTTTACAGAGTGATGTGATGTTTTATTTGATACACACGTGGCTTCACAGAAATATCATATTTTTTATTTTTTAAAAATAATTTTTTTAAAAATTCTACTTTATTACATTTTGTATTTTTTTATTTTTACTAATTTTTTAAAACATTTTAAGTAATTCATTTTTTAAAATTTTAGATACGTTTAATATAAATACACATAAAAAGTATAATTTTTTGTGAAAAAATCTTTTAAAGATTTACTAAATATCAAAAATACAAAAAAAATACTAGAATTCAATATATATTTTTTATATTTTTATATATTTATTAATTTTTTAAAATATTTTTTATTTTTTAAAAAAACCTAAATGAGGTGCAATTAAAAAAATAAAAAATAAAAAACTTAAAATTTTAAAAATATTCATTAAAAATAAAAAAATAAAAAAAATAAAAAAACTTAATTTTCAATTGGAACCAAACACACAGATACGGACCGAGAGTTGGCATAGGCAATTGGGACGGGGAATCCCAGGCCATGCGGTGTGTAGAAGTGTAAAAATATTATAAAAAATAAAATTATATATATCATTGTTCAAAAAATAGATGTTTTAAATCACCAAATAAATGTAATATGGGGGACAAGATCACTAAACTGGAGAGTTATATTAGAGATCTCAAATATTCTACTAAAAGTTTTATTAAATATCTCACATAGGTATGGGACCCACACAATGTGGGTCCCATGTGGGTCCCACACCCATGTAAGACATTTGGTAAAATTTTTGATAGAATTTTTGAGACCTCTAGCATTTTTGCTACACTGGATCCTCACTCTTTCTATGTAATCTTTCGTTGAGTTAATCATTTTATTCTTTTTATATAATCTTTCGTTGAGTAAATCATTTTATAATATTTTAATATGATAAAATTTAGAGTTATCTAGAATATTATTTTGGCTTAAGGAAAAATACTTGAGAACACTAAAAAAAGATCACTAAAAGGAGCACTACTGATGTGGTAGTGGGCTCCGCCCACTTTCTATGCCTTGTTTTTATTTTTTTATTATTTTTTTTTGCCATTTTCAATATATTAGTGCTATTAGTGATGTATTTTTTAGTGGTCTAAATCATTGTTGACAATTAAGAAACTATTCTCGTTGGCATGTTATTACTGGCTGCTTATGAGCAGCACATGCAAGCGTAGTTGTCAATTATCAACAGCAGAGTATCATATTATTTCCCAACTCAGAACATTTTACTATATAAAGGCTTCAAAGCCATAGTTTATCTTCACCTCGCCACTTGCCTGTTAATACTACTTTCATTTTTGGGCTTTAATAGGAAGAGATGGGTCTCACTCGCCAAGTAGAGATCAAATCAGATGGAGATGCGTTCCATGAAATCTTCAGATACAAACCACATCACATAAGCACCATGTCTCCTGGTAACATTCACGGTGCTGATTTGCATGAAGGTGAATGGGGTACTGTTGGCTCTGTCATCTACTGGACTTATACTCATGGTATGTTTTTCTGACTTGTTCTGAGGTGGTTATCTCCTGTTTTGTTTCTGTCCATTTTTGATCTTAGGTTGGTATCTTGCCATCCTTTTTGCTTTCAGTAAGGAGTTAGCTTTCCTCCGGCCTAGATTATGGATTGGAGGGTGTTACCTCGGTACGAGGACTCTATTGCGGTTCTCATTTTAATAATTAAAATAGTTTATTTTGTTGAGATTTTTGTATATGTCACGCATAAAAAAATTAGATTTATTTTTTTAAAGATAAATATGATAAATTGAATAGATTATTAATACATGAAAGATTTTATAAAATGAACGATTCACATCATTAAAACGGGACCATGTTCTAAAAGGAAATGGAGTCTTTTTAGTAATACTACCAACTCAAAAATTTTACTCAAAATTTATCAAGAATTATCAATTTATGGTCAAAATTTATTCTACACATGATTCTTAATATACAAATTCAATTTCAATCCAACAATCTTATTCTGGGTAAAGATTTAGGATTGGTTCTCTGGGTAAACAAAATTACAGATTTGTTTTTCGTTCGTGCTTTCACATAATTTTGCTAGCTTTCATGTGTCAATATAATTGAAATTGATCGATTTTGTTGTGATCCCCTTAGCACTTTCCATTTTTTTTTTTTATTATTTGATCAACAAGGAAAAGGGGTCACTGTTCTACTAAAAGTACAGCAGTGACTGTGATACCTTTATTTGAGGTGTATAATAGTCTTATTTTTATGATCCAAATCGTTATTTTGTAGAGTTTATTTACTTTATGCCTACCAAAAATCATATTAATCGAATATCAATAATTATATGATCGATAACCAAAGAAATAAATAATAAGTTTTTCTTTTGAGAAATAATATAAACAATATGCAATTCGATCATATAGTTATTAATATCCAATTAATATAATTTTTAATAAGCATAAAGTACTGAACAAACCCTATAAAATAACGATTTGAATTATAAAAATAAGATCACAATACACGTTAAATAAAAATACCACAGTTACTTTTAACACAGACCCCTTTTCCTAGGTTGACCATGTCATAAGTTTCCATTTGTTACCCATGGTGTTGCTCTCATCATAAAGATTGACCACATAATAAAGCTAGTCCATGTTTACCAATGCTTACAAAATATTCATTTTTAATAGATTTTTATTCTAAATCTAAAGCGGCTAGTGAAAGTTTTAAATTTTATAATGGTGATCACTGTCATAAATTATTGATTTTAAACTAGATGATGATGCTGCAACAATTTATAGTTTTAGCGGTTAAATTTGACGATCAAATTCATTTTAGTTGCCAAAAGTATTACATTTAGTGATTAAAAATTATATTGGCTGGTAATTATTTTAGGGTTTAGTTACTAAATTTTTTTGTTCAGGTATATTACTTTTTGGCGATTAAAAATGTTTAGGTCTCGTTTGTTAGCTATACATTTTAACTAAAAATTAAAAAGTCATTATAAGTTGTCACACAACTCTCTTTTATTTTTCTGCACATCTTTTTTTAAAAAGTTAAAAAATTACTAAAATAACTTTTTTCAAACGAGATCTTAGTCACTAAATAGTTATCACTAGGCAACTAAAAAATATATTTGTTGGCGTTAGTTTAGGTTTTTAGGCTACTAAAGTTTCGTTTAATCATCATATAGCAGTTTTTACCAACTAAAATAAATTTAATCACCAAACAACTAGCATAAATGATGTTGTTAATTTTTGGCGACCAAAGCTTTGGTCAGCAAATGTTCTTTGGTGGCAAAAAAAACTTTAGTCGTGATATAGTAATTTTTGCCTACTAAAATAGTTTAGTCGCCAAATAAGTAACATAAATTTTATATTTTATCTTTGGTGACCAAAAAGGTCGTCGGTAAATAGTTATTTCCGGTGACAAAAACACTTTTAGTCATGGATTAATAATTTTTGCCTACTAAAATTTTTTTATCACCAAATAATTAGCATAATTTTTACTTTTTATCATTAGCGACCAATAATTTAGTCGGTACACATTTATTTTTGGTTACCAAAATCATTTAGTCAACAACAAATAAAATAATCCATGACTAAATGTTTGGGGTTCAAATTGTTTGATTTTTAATTGTTTGAAATTTTATGAAATTTTACAATTTAAAATACAAATAAAATAAAAAATTTGTCACATCATCAAAGCTTTGTATCAGAACATGTGAGGCTCATTTCCCTTTATAATTGTGAGCAAAATTGTCTAACAATAAAAATAGTTGAAATTTTTTTTTTTCTTTGAATAAAAAACTTTACATGCCACTTATCTTAGTACAACCTCACCAAATAAGACTTGTAGGTGATTATTTTTAAAATATGCCTCAATAAATTTGCATTTTAAATTAAACAATAGGTAATTGAGGTTATAAAACTTATAATAACATAATCACTTTAGACCGTTGATATTTTGAGATTTGATGGGATACTGAAACCTTATAAAATGAAATTGAAATCTTCAAACCATCCATATTGAAGTAAATGTTGTTGCAGACCATTTGAATTTCTTTTTTTGAATGCAAATATGGCCCTTATATGAAGGGGTGGTTTGGAATTTGATTATTTAGTGGTCCTTTTAACCTTTTATAAAAGGATATATAAAAAAGTAAAAAAATAATGTGATAATTTATAATAAATAAATTGTTTATTAATATGAAGAAACTGCATGTAAGTGAGAATTGGCCAAAAAAAAAAAAAATTATTAACATATGGAGAGGGGTAAATAACACTTATACCCTTGCAACATTTTATTTACATCTGACTACCGATAAACTTGCACCATTTATGTATTTTTAATTTATGTAAATAACATTGAGAGTCTTATGTGTCCATTTAATAATTATTGAGAATTTTACATGGATCAAGTGGCATCCACGTGTTTGGAATTTTTGGATGGTTGGGATGGTAAATGACGGGATATTACTTTTTTTTTTTTCATCGTTTCATAATATGTATATTAAAGAAAATAAAATTTTTTATAAGAAAGCTTGTGGAAGTTCTAAAGTCTCAACATAATTTTATTAAGATTTTTGAATTATTGTAAGAGAAAAAAATACATGTCTAAAAATGATTGGTTGATTAAATTTATTTTAATATTATTAATATCATGTAAATTTATATGTTCTAAATTAACTCCACGAAAATTTATACCATATATAGATTCTCTTTAGTCTTCTAATAGTTTGTATCGCCTAAATTTGTATGTTTCAAAATTAAATTTGTATGTTTTAAATTTATGTTCCTAAATTAGCTCCTACATAGTTTCAAACCCAACACTAGCTTGATTGACTGAGGCATAATGTTTTCTATTGTTTGACTTTATCATATGTGATACCATAGATGGAAAAAAGAAGACTGCTAAGGAAATTATTGAAGCAATTGACGAGGAAAAAAAGTCGGTTACATTCAAGGTTGTTGAAGGTGATCTCATGCAGTTATACAAGACCTTTATAATCACGGTACACGTGGATACAAAAGGAGAAAACAACTTGGTGACTTGGAACTTTGAATATGAGAAGCTGAATGAAGCTGTTGAAGAACCAACAACACTGATGGACTTCGCTATTGCTGTCACCAAAGACATTGAGACTCACCATCTCCAACAGTAGATGCAAAGCTGACGTGGCTTGCTAGTATGGTATGAAGTGTACTTGTGAGTGATAAAAGTATCTCCTGTGAATATGAAGTGTACTTGTGAGTGATAAAAGTATCTCCTGTGAATAACGTGTACTTGTGAGTGATAAAAGTATCTCTTGTGAAAAACTTGTATCTGTTTGTAATGTGATTGTTTATTTGGTTGCTTTATTTATGCATAATGATAAATGTAACCATTTGTGTAATTGATTGGGTGAATTTGAATTTGGTGAAGTGTTGCTAAAAATATCTTTTGGTGTTTTAGAAGATTGAGCTTGATCATTAGAAGATTGAGCTTGATCAGTAGGAGCTTGAGGTTGAGTACTAGTGGTCTTATCATCCTCTGTCAAGCTAATAGGAGAAGCATGAGTCAGAAGTTTGTGTTGAAGAAATTGAAAATGAGATACAGAAAGGGGTTTGGGTTTAGTAAAAATATCAGCAAGTTGGTCTACAGTGGGAATGTGTTTGATAACCAGCTGATTTGAAGCCACACACTCACGAACATAATGATAATCCACTTCAATGTGCTTCGTACGAGCCTGAAAAACATTATTACTAGTTAAAGCAATAGCAGATAAATTGTCACACCATAAGGTGTTTGGAACAAAAGGAACATGAAGATCTTTGAGAAGCATGTCAAGCCAACTAAGTTCAGCTGAGTTTTGAGCAAGAGCTCTATACTCAACTTCAGTTTTAGACCGAGAAATAGTGGGTTGCTTTTTAGCAGACTAAGAAATCAAGTTTGGTTCGAGAAAAATTCAAAACCCAGTGGTAGATCTGCGATCAGTAGCATTTCTCACCCAGTCTAAATCAAAAAAGGCATTAAGAATCAGAGGACTTGATAAAAAATGAAGGCCATGATGAAGGGTACCCTTGAGACATCTCAGCAAACGTTTGATAGCAGTAAAATGACTAACCAAAGAAGCATGCATGTGTTGACAAACTGAATTGACAGCAAAGGCAAGGTTTGGGCAAGTGATTGTGAGATACTGAAGAGCACCAACAATACTTCTATAAAAAGAAGGCTAATCAAAAGGAAGATCGTCTATGGCAAGAATAGTGGATTTAGTAGGCATTGGAGAAGCATACGGCTTACAATTGGTCATGCTAGCTTTGGCCAAAATATCAGTGGCATACTTAGCTTGATTCAAGAAGAAACCAGTAGCAAAGGTTTGGACTGAGATGCCCAAAAAATAATGGAGAAGGCCTAACTCTTTCATCGAAAAAGTTTATGCATTTCAGCTACCAATAAATTGATATAAGACTCATCACTACCAGTAAGAAAAATGTCATCCTCATAGATAAGCAGGATGGTGATAGAAGTAGATGTCTTTTTGACAAACAAAAAAGAGTCACAATCGCTTGCAAGAAAATCTTGAGACAAGAGAAAAGTAGAAAGGTAGAAAACCATTGAGCCTGGTTTTGGCCATATAATGCTTTGCTCAGTTTAATACTTTAGTAGGATGAAAATCTACAATGAAACCTGACTGTTGAGTCATATATACTTCTTCATAAAGAACATCATGGAGAAAGGCATTAGAAACATCCATTTGCTTGATTTGCCAACCAAAATGAAGAGCAAGACATAGTAAAATGTGAATGGCAGGTTGTTTGGCTACAAGACTGAAAGTGTCTTGATAGTCGATGCCTTCCTCATGAAGATAGCCTTTGGCTACCAACCTGGCCTTGTATTGAGCAATAGAACCATCAGAGTTCTTTTTGAGTCTATACACCCATTTGTAGCCAATAACATTCTTGTTGGGGGGAAGATCAACTAGAGACCAAGTCTGCTCGGATTGAAGAGCTTGAAATTCTTCCACCATAGCCTTAGTCCAATCGGGGACTGAGCAGCCTCCTTATAGGAATTTGGTTCAGTAGAAACATGAGTAAGATGAGCAATAGAAGGTAGATAAGAAGACTTAGACCTAGTGATCATATAATAAGAATTAACAGTGGAAGATAGAGGTGCTACAGGTAAAGAAATATGTAAGTTAATATAAAAAGAAAAGATAGGAATGGATTAGGAAAGAGAAGAAGCAGAAGGTATAGGGGTTGTAGGGATAGCAGAGATAGGAGCTGCAGAAGAAGGTATAGGGGCTACAGAAGATGGGACAACAAAAGAAGGCATAGGGTTTGCAAAAAATGGGATAACAGATAATGTAGGAGTAGACATAATAGGAACGACAGATGTAGACTGAGCAGTAGGCACAGAGGATGTGATAAATGAAGAAACATGTAGAGATGACTAGAAAAAAGAATGCAATTGAGCAACAGATTTGACTGGAGTAAAACCAGTAGAAGAAGAAAAAGAGAAAGGAAAGCAACTTTCATTAAAAATAACATTTTTAGAAAGATAGACTTTACCAGAAATAGGATCAAGACATTTGTGACCTTTCATTGAGGAATGATAGCCAATGAAAACACATGGAAGAGATCGAGGTTGGAGCTTATGCTGAGTATAGGGTCTTAACCAAGGATAGCACAAGCAGCAAAAAGTTATGAAGAAAGAATAGTCTGGAGGAGTGTGAAAAAAAACTTCTAAAGGGGTGAGAAATTGAAGCTTAGCAGTAGGTATCCGATTGATGAGCACTACTGCTATAGCTAAAGCTTTAAACCAGAGATGCAAAGGTAAGGAAGCATGATGCATTAAGGTAATAGTAGTCTCAATTAGGTGCTTGTGATTACGTTCAGCCACCCCATTCTGCACTAGAGTGAGGAAATGTAAGGTGATGTAAAATGCCTTTAACTATAAGCAAATTTTAGAATTCATTTGATAAGTATTCCTGTCCATTATCACTCTTAAGGATCTTAAGAGAAGTAGAAAATTGAGTTTCAATTAAGGCATTGAATTCAAGAAATTTAGAAAACAGCTTACTCTTGTAATGCAAAGGAAATAACCAAGTAAATTTGCTGAAATCATCAATGAAAACAACATAGTTGGTGTTTGGTAGAACTTATAAGCAGCTTATTTCAACTTTTAACTTAATTTAAGCTAAAAACTTATGTTTGGTTCAGCTTATTTGACCAACTTATAGCTTAAATAAAGCTAATTTTCAACTTATTTGAGAAGTTGGTCAGGGGGTGCTTATTATTTGAGCTTAAGCGCACAACTGCTCTGTAGGGGGTAAAATGACTTAAATGCCCCTCCCAAACTCCATTATTTACAAAAATGCCACTATATATACCCGTTTGATGCCCTAACTCTCGTCTCTCACACTCTTCTGTCCTATTCTCCTCTCCTCTGGCGATTGAGAAGAAGCTGTACCAACACTGTCACGACCTCAAATTGCCCCTAGTAGTTTAGTGCCATGATGGCCAGTAATCCGAGATTACCGAAGGCCAATTTTCAAAATTCACACACAATCAGAGTATTACATATGGGGCTAACATGTGCGGAAGCAATATATACAAATTTAATTAGTCCATAAGAGCTGTGCATAAGTTAAATAGAATGGCATACATCTTTACATAGTTTTAATACAACAATGAAGTACAAAAATACATCTTGACCAAAAGGCTTCTCAGCCATCAAATACAAAATACAACGAAATACAACTAAGAAGCATAATCTTCAAGATGCGACAAAGGTGCGTAATCCAAAACAAGTAGCAAATACATCTAGGCGTCACCGCCGTCTTGCTCGTCACCTACATATATATAGAGAGGGGTGAACTTGGATACTCAGTGAATGGTACAAATAATAAAGGGTTTACATGAATGATATCCGAAATCTTAATCAAATCAAAGCATAACACATCTTGTACAAAATCCAAGGGCAAATCAAGTTTATCTAACAACTCTTTCAAGTCTCGACAATTAAAGTCTTTCAAGGCTTTCAAGTTCCAAGGGATAACATTAACAAAGGTTGTGCTACAAATGCTTATAGTCCCTTAGCACGTACGGACTTTCAAGATTGTGCTACAAATGCTTATAGTCCCCTAGCATGTACGGACTTTTCAAGATTGAGCTACAAATGCTTATAGTCCCCTAGCATGTACGGACTTTCCAAGAATGTCATCCAAAACAAGGCTAATACTTGATATACAAAATAGGGATCATCATTCATGCTTAACAATACTTTTCAAAACAAGCAAAGCGAATCTTTAACAAAACATTATAACATAGCTTTATTAGAAATACCACTCACATAGCTCTTCAGACGTCGGGGTCAAGGCAAGTCCAAGTCCTACAAACACATGGCAAGGTCTATTGAACGCACTTTCAAACAAGCTTTACATGGATGCAAATGTTCTCGGCATTTCTTCAAAACTAAGTCGAACCAAGACAAAACACTGTTTCTCCTCTCGGGGAAACATGCTGGGTACCAACCAGGCTATTGCCGAGGTCCCACACCTTCTTGCTGAGGTGTGGTCCCGGTGGCTACGCTCAAGGAAATGAAGTTGGGAAAATCTGGGTTTCCCCTTTCTTGAAGATCATGAAGAATACGGTTGCAAAGATCATAACTTATCATTACAAAATCTGAGGTTTCATGCCATAAATTCAAAACATGGACCTAGGTACCCATACTTGAAGATTTTATGAAAACAAACACAAAAACATGAATCTTGATGCAAGCTTTCGGATCAAACAAGACTTTTATTTCAAGAACACATGAATAACACTTTCTCTTTCTAAAACCAAACTTTAAACCGATGCATGGCTTATAAATTGTGCTCGATCATGCAATGCAGCTAGATGATTAACAAGAACTACAAGAGTAGGTCAAGAATCTAACCTTAATACACGAATCTAACGGTTAGTGTCACAGCCCAGCAACCCGCCCCTAAAGGTTTGGGCATGACCTAAGCAAAAACTGACATAAAAACTGATGTACACACCGTACGGGGCCTTATCGGAAGCATAAAAATATTAATATAACGTAAATACAAGCATACTCCATTGAGCTATTTCTAATATGCCAGGATCTCATGCATTACATACATCAAAAGCGGATAAAGTTTAAAACTATATCCCTGGATATCATGTACAACATACACGTTTACAGTCCTAGCTCGATAATTGGGCATAACAAAAGGAATATGAGAGTCGTGTACAACGTCTGTAGGTGGCTCTCAAAAGTAGACCCATATCTTAGCAGTTCCCAAAAGTAAAGGGCTCGGTGTAGTGCCTGGACATGTAAAGGTTGACAAAAGGGACAGCGTCGAAGTTAGGTCTGACTCCTTGACTGATAACCTACAGAAACAGACATAATGGAGAGTGAGTCGGGCTCAATGAGCAGTAATACAT